AAAAGTGTCCAAAAACAAAGATGTATGTTTTAGGACTAAGGTGCACTTGACCCAGTCATGTATTATCAAGAGCCTCATATGCATGTGAAATTTGGACAATGAAAGAATTGATTCATTTGAGTTATGGTGGTGGAAGAGAAGATTAAAAGTGCAATGAACTGCCAGAAGAACAAACAGGGCTCTGTTGGAAGAAGTAAAAAAAGAATGCTCCTTAGAAGCCAGAATGATGAGATTATATCTCTCATATTTCAGACAAATTGTCAGGAGGCACCAGTCCATGGAGAAGGGCATAATGCTTGGTAAAGCAGAGGGTTAGTGAAGAAGAGGAAGAAGCCCAATGAGATGGATTAGCACAGTGACAGCAACAGTGAACTCACAGTAAGGATTGTGAGATTAGCTCAGGACCTGGCAGTTTTTTACTCGGCTGTGCATAAGGTCACTGAGATGATACCAATTCACCAGCAACTAACAACAGCAACAACATGGACTGCCAAAGAACAAATAAATCTGTCTTGGAAGATATACAAACAGAATGCTCTTTAGAAGCAAGGGCAGCAAGAGTTCTTGTGACAAACTTTGTACATGTTATCAGGAGGGACCAGTTCCTGGAGAAGGATGTCATGGAGGGAAAAAAAGGAAAGGATCAGTGAAAAACAGGAAGACAGTTATTGTAACAATACACTTCAACATAACAGTGATTGTGAGACTGAAGCAGGACCTGGCAGTATTTGGTTTGGTTATACATACATTCAGTAAGACTTTGGAACCATCGAGGGAGCTCCTAACAGTAACAAGTACACACACACAAACACACACACACACACACACAGGAGCTTCAAAAAGTTTGTGGGAAATGGAATAGAAAGATAATAGGATTTTTTCATGAACTGTTTGAAGTAGTGGCTCTGAAGGTTGTTGCTTTGAGCCCACCAGCTGCTTTATGAGAGAAAGATGAAATTTTCTGCTTCAGCAAAGATTTTCAGCCTTGGATACTCTATCCAGGAAGTTTATGAGTCACACTGACTTGACAACATTTAACAACAACATATATGTATTATTTCCTAATTTCTACAACAAATCAACCCTTTGAGAGGAAAAAAGGGAGGCATGGTACAAGCAAGTATGTATGTGTTGCTGTAGGATTACCACTGGATTACTATAAATCTGTCTTGTTAGAAATATAAGCAGAACGTTCCTTAGAACCAAAAATAGAAAGACACTGTGATATGATGATAAATTTTGAAAATGGAATTTTAGCTGAAACATTTATCTTTTAGTATACTGCTTCTACATTACATATTTGTGATTAGTGTGCATTACGTATATAATTGTAATAGGTAAAGATAACTAATTACTGTATTCCATTTTCTACAAACTAATTCATAATTAACATTAATTGTCCAACTCTTGTGTTTTTGCAATGATTATCATGATTAAACGGATGTGATTTTACAGATTTAATTATATTTTTGCTATCATGTGAGAGTAATCTTACTTGACTTTAATTTTTAGCAACGCTGTCTCTTAAATTCTGTGATCCAGGAACAACTTCATTCGGTATTTATTCAAGAAATTAGATGACAAAAAAGAAAAAGGAAAGAATTGTCTACTACTGGGCACTTAAAATGCAAAGTATATTACCAAAACAAACCAATTATAAATCTTGTAATCCTTAATTTGAATCTTTAAAATATAAAACGTGTACATTGGATCTTTAAGGTTGTAGTAAAGGCATTAAAGTCCTGATTTCAAAGACACTACAAAAGCAGTTTGCACTGAATTTTTTTTTTTTTTCACCTGTAAACAATTTCATTAGTTGAGTACCCTTGGAACGTGCCTATTTTCCCTTTTACCTACTCGGTTGCCCATAGTCTTATATTTAAGTGCTTACATTTCTATTTAACCCCATACACTTACATTTAACCAGTCTTGTATTTGAGGAAAGACACTTTTTATCTGTGCAGCCACCAATGAAAATAAATGACATTCTCCACAGAAAATTGCACAGACACATAAAAGAATGCATGTCATTCAAAGAACCTTTAGACCACCTGAAGCAGCGCTGTGGCATGATGGGTTAAGCATGGGGCTGCTAACTGAAAGGTGGATGGTTCCATCCAACTGCTCCATGGGAGAAATAAGAGGAAGCCTGCCTCGTCTTTACTCTTCTGTAATGATGTATTAACTGCCATAGAGTCAGTTCTGACTCAAAGTAACCCGGCATAGGAATTCTGAGAAGTGATTATTGTGCTTAGCTGTCTGGTGCCTATCCTAAAGTGCCACACCAGGATTGACACTTGCTAAGAAGTGGTTCTATTCTCTCCCACAGTATTCCTGTGAGGCAGATTTGACTCCATGCTGTGGTTTACACCACCTGAACTGCATGAAAATATCAGCTTTCCAGCTCCATTCTCATGTAAATACTTGGCTCCACACATTCCAGCATAAAATCTTTCCCTGGAATCTTTAAATAATCCATACTGTAAGCCATTCGGAGCTCTGGTAGCATAGTGGTTATGAATTGGGCTGCGAACCTTAAGGTCAGCGGTTCAAAACTACCAGCCGCTCCGCGGGAGAAAGATGAGGCTTTCTACTCCCGTAAAGATTTACACCCTCGGAAACCCTGTACAGGGTCGCTATGGGTCGGAACCGACTCGATGGCACTAGAGAATTATTATCTGCTTAAAATTACAATTTCCTCAAAGGATAATCTATTCAGATCTTAATTAAACACCAAAAGTTCTAATTGCTCTAGGATGAGCACTGGACTGAAAACCAAAAGGTCTTCTATTCAAGCCCACCAATCACTCAGTGGGAGAAAAATTATGCCTTCTGCTCCCCCAGAGATTTACAGCCTCAGAAATTCTACCCAGGGTGGCTAAGAGTAGGATCAACTAGATGCCACTTAACAACAACAAAAAATTTTGCCCCTCTAGCTACTTCACCATTGCTCCTGCTACACACTTCTGTGTTTAGATTTTTAGGCATATTGTTGCCACCTGGCACTAATACCACAGGTCTTTCTCTTAACAATCCACCTCTGTATGATTTCCACAATGTTTTGTCTCCTCACCCAGATCTGAAGATTCACTATTCGTTCTTATTTCCAGTCACTCTACAAACACTTTTCATTATATGTTCTAGAACTCTTTCCATGGTTACTGCGAAGTAAGCCCTCCTGTAGTCCTTTCAATATGAAGCTGTGAACTCGCAAGATAAAGGTTACTCCTTTCTCCTACCCAGAACTGCTCTTATATCACACACTAAAATCCATGCTCTTTGGGGACTAATTCCTACTACAAAGCTGGATTTTAAGTTTCATGAAAATTGACCTGCTCCAGTTGTATCACCAAGATCTAAGAACAAGGGCTGTATACTGTATCATTAAAATTTACGCCATTTATGCACATACATCTCTTGTGAAGAAAACAAGTATGCACAGATTTCAATTAAATTTTGACATGAAGTGTATATGAGTATTTCTTAGTATCAGTGCAAAAATTCTATTGTATAACTACTGGGTGCTGAACAAAAGAAATCAGCAGTCATAAAATAAACACACACAAAATGATGTCTATTTAAAAAACACAGCTTGATTTAAATGACTGCTTATGTCACTGAAATTGATTTTCAAAAAAGTCCATTGCTCAGTAGCAACCTCAAGTTAAATATCTCTGGTAACATGTTATTGTACAATATTTTTAAATGGACTAAAACATGTATACAGTAACATGTTATTGTACAGTATTTTTAAATGGACTAAAACATGTACATAATTTCTAGCTATATAGCATAGATACTATTTTGTATACTTGATGATTCAATATAATATAAACCCCACATGTCAGAAGAAGACTAACTATAAACGTGTAATTTCTGTGTATGGAAGATTTCCCCTACTCCCAGCTACTAGCTATAAGGAAATGGTGTATGCTGAGACTTTGCAGTACTTTTTGTGTAACACTTAAGCTACACATGATTATGTATCACCTCTTATTCTCTATATACATTCTGAACAAAAGACATTACCTTAAGGTGCTTGTTTCTAGGCTTATTAACATGATACTAAAGTCATAGGTTTTCACTGACACAAAAACACACACATTAATTTTAGTCACTCAAAACAATAATATAATAAATAATATTCAATATAATAGTCAATTATTTTTAAATTAATTATGAAATGGTATGTTTGAGACACCCAGAATTGCTCTTACGGCCCTGTTCTGGTTTTATTAACTTAGTCTAGGATGACGCTGTGCTGACTCTTTGCTCTGCTGGTTTGGCAATGGCCTTTGGCCAAACACAATTACATACTGACCTGACCTGAGAGAGAAATATGTCTAGAAATTCTATTGTTTGGAGACCACAGGTTTTTTTGTTTTTTTTTCCCCCCGTTCTTTCTAAGGTAAAATAAAAAACTTCATTATTTTTCTATGCTTTCAGTTTTCATAAAGTCAGCCTTAGTATAGCTATAGGGAAATGATTTTAAATGACTATATGGAGTTAATCCACTAACTTTAGATTCTGATTTTTCTTAACTTTTAGAAACATAACTAAGCACTTATGATTCTTAATTATATTTTTTAAAAGTTTGGGGAAAAGAAAATATTCCCTAAACTAGGATTTCTTAATGATATTTTTCTGTCAGGGACCACTTTGAAACTAATAAAGCTCCTTCTCAGGAGAAAGTTCTTAAACACATAAATTAAAGCGTGAAGGATTTGAAAACTGTTGTTAAGTCAAAGTCTGTGCATTTCAGGTTAAACTTAAACAATTCAAATATATTTCAATATATAATTACCTATACATTGAAATACATACAACTACAGGTTTAGAAGTATTATATAAATCAAAACAAATGGAAATGTTAAATGTTAAAAATAGTTGTTATAACATAATTGTTTAAAAAAATTGATGTTTGTAAATATGCAGAAAAGCCTTTTTGAAATAGGAAAAAAACACAGAAGAGCACAATTTTAAAATAAACTCATTCGTACCTTTATGGCAGTGGATGCAATTTGAATGTGGTGAAGTCTCCGAAGGGTGCTGTCCCTGTCAATGAAATAGGAAGCAGCGAGTTGATGTAGAGTCTCCAGAGTCACTGAAGAGCTATTGGTGTTGGAATCACTTCCTTCCGATCGCTTGCTCAACTTCCGCTTGTCCACAAAAATTGTGAGTGACTCCTCTCCTGCAGTAACAATATCTCCAATTATGCCATTTTCCAATTCAAATGCTTTAACAATTATTTTCTGGTGGAAAGACCTAGATTATAAACATAGAAAAATAACGAAATGTGAAACTTTCCTTTTTTTTTTTCCCATTCACTTATGGTTGGCCAGCACCTGGAAGAAACCCTGTGATTATAGTCTTTCAGCATCTATTTTGTGAATGCTTAATAGCTAGTTTTGGTGAACGATTTCTAGCTTTCACCAATGTTCTCAGATTTTAGCTTTCCTGATGTAGGGTGCAAGGAGCTCTGGTAACTTAGTGGTTACTAATCGGCCTGCGAATGGAAAGGTCAGCAGTTTGAAACTATCAGCTGCTCCACTGGAGAAAGAGGAGGCTTTCTGCTCCCGTAAAGATGTACAGACTCGGAAACCCTGTTCAGGGTCGCTACAGGTCGGAACTGACTCGACAGCACTTAACAACAACAATAACAATGTAGGGTGCAGAGTTCTGGTGTGGTGCTGTGGGTTAATGCGCCAGACTGCAAAGCCGTTTGAACTGCAAGGTCGGCGGTTCAAACTCACCAGCTGCTCCTCAGAAACCCTGTTTATGGTTGCTATGGGTCGGAATCGACTCGTAGGCACTTAACAACAACAACAATGTGGGAAGAAAGGAGCTCTGATAGCGTATTGGTCATGAATTGGGCTGCTAACCCCAAGGTCGGCAGTTCGAAACTACCAGCTGTTCGGCAGGAGAAAGATGAGGATTTCTGCTCCCGTAAAGATTTACAGCCTCGGAAACCCAGTGCAGGGTCGCTATGAGTAGGAACCTACTCCAGGGTACTTAACAACAACAACAACAACACATAAGGAGCCCTGGAGGTACAGTTAAGTGTAAGGGCTGCTAAACTGCAAACCTCACTTCTGGAGAAACACGCAACTATCTACTCTGATAAAGATGAACAGTCTTAGAAATTCTATAGAGCAGTTCTCCTCTGCCCTATGGGTTTCTATGAGCCGTGAGTTTGGTTAATATGGGGTGCATGATATGAAATGGTATTTACTCAAAAATGTTTACTACAAAAACAGTATAGCAAAATGGAC